AGTAGATAAGCAAATAGCATAGCCATTAATCATTAATCACATGAAACTTGATGCCTAAACCCTGAAATATGGAATGATGTGAGAATATTCTTTTCCTGGTAATGGCTTTGTTTTTAATGTTTTGAAAAAGCAATGGAATTCCAGTCATTCTTACCCTTTGCTTTTAAAATCATGCTTACTATTAAATCAATCTCAATGTGACTATCTATTCTGAGGCAAACTCCTTAAGCGGTAAGGCATCTGGGTATCCTTCTTGAATAGTAGAGGAGCCAACTTCAACCCATAAAAGACAAAAAAAAAAAAAAAACACCTCCAAATAATTATGATTCAAACTTTGCTGCTAGTTTCTATCTCCCTTGAAGTGATATCCCAAACTTAAATTAGGAGTTATTTTGAAAATTGCTAAGAGAGGCCCTTTGGTTACACAAATGTACAATAAAAACATAGGTCATTGTCAATAACCGTGAAGCAATCTCAATGTCACCATTTTAGACTCAGGAGCGATGGCAGCCATTTGGTGATGCAGATTGCCTGTGGTTGGAGCAGACTTCATACTGCTGCAGATTCTGTTGCTTTGCGGGACAGAATCTGACTGAATCTGACATGAGTTCAGCCAGCCCTTGAGTGTTGTCATTCTTACTCAGAGGATGTGTGTATCGTAGCTGAACAGTTAGTTGCTAGATGCCTACTCCCAGACTCTGAGTTCAGTAGCACAATATTCAGGCATGAAGTTTGCACCATGTTGTAAGAGAGGTAAAACAAGCAAGTAGTTTGAGCTGGCTCAGTCTAAGGTTGTCTAAACTATTGATGTTCTCCACACCAATAGCCTATGTGTTGGAAACATATTGAACTGATATAGTGATTGTTCCACCCATAAACTGAGTTATGAAAGGATCAAGGGGACTCTACAGGGAGTGCCTGAAAGATAGAGTGGCTCTGTTTGTTTCTAACACTCACATGCTCTCTTCTCAGAGATTACATGGGATTATGTGTGGTGCATTGTTTCCCTCCGTATTGTGATAAAGGATGTGTTTACTTATTTTGGTCTTGGTATCACAGATTTGTAATCTTTTACAGAGTTTTTGTCTTTGTCCTGTACCTTTTTTGTGATAGTGAAACAGTTCCCTCCCTTCTCTCCGTCCCGGTGTTCACTGCAGCAGCTGCTCAAGACCCAGCCTTTTCAGTCAGCTGTGCTTTCCATCTAGTGGTAGAGGAAAGGACCCAGGACACACCCTCTCTGCCATGGCCTGGTGAAGTAGCTGCTTTCCGTGAGACGGGGGCCTGTGTGTGCCTGGACTATCATCCACCCCTACCCACACGCATCCAGGCCTTCACTGCATTTTATTCATTTTGTGCTGATCAAATGTCCTCATGTTGGAATAGCTTGCTACCACCATCTCTAGAAGAAAATGGAATATGAACACCCTGAGGAAACCCACTCATGAATACAAACCCTCTTCTCTTCTACAAAGGGAAGGAGTATGATTACTGAATGTTAATAGCTCACTGGAGATTAGAATTTAAGATGAGACAAGATCTGCTTAATGCATTTATTATCTGAAAGTGAATGATAGGAAGAGGAGGGGCAGGGCGATGAAATGATTTAGAGTGGAAAATGACATATACTGCCTGCCTATTATGTATCTGGTACAGAAGCTTTTCAACTGTTACATTTTCAATTTAACAACTCAATATAAGAACAAAATTATACCGCAGTTAAAAGCCCCTACCACTAATAGATGGGTGAATAGTAAAGTTAGTTCATTTAGTCATTGTGTTTCTTGAGTCATAGACAGGAAGTCTACTATCCACATGTTGGTTCCGAGGTAATTTAAAATCATAATTAACCCCATCATGCCCGATAAGTATCAAAAGAATTCCAAGAATAAAGGCATGGTGGGGTGGAAAGTGGAGAGCATTTTTCTAAATTAAAATGGAAGAGAAAGTGGATAACTACATACAAGTGTATGGCATGAGTCACTTTTCTAAAACAAGGAATTCAAAGGACAGATCACAACCATGAAATGTGTGCAGGTATCGTGCCTGTACCTTTGAAATTAAGAGGCAAAAGACAAGGGTAAGTGAAAAAATGGGACATGTCTTGAGCAAGTGACTCCAGGACATGCTTTTCAGCTGACTCCACCTCTTTCTACAGCAGTGAAATCATGCTTTCTATGAGACTAGTTTAACTTTCAGCTTTTATAAATTTACTTCCCAGGTGATTCTGATCTGCAGCTATTGTGAAAACCACTGGATTGGGAGTCCTGAAGTGAGACCACAGATTTGAAAAAGAAAAGGCCTTAGAGTTGATGAAGTTAGGGTTCCAAACCTGGCAGTGATTCCTCAGGCTGAAAGTCCACTCAAATGTGGATGTCAGAACCAGCTAGTAGGAGGGAAATGTGGATACCAAGGATGGAGAAGCTCTAGCTAAGGTTTCCATTAGACATTTCCATCCAAACATCCCATCAGAAAATCAAACAACAAATTCCAAATATTTAAGAGCTCAGCTAAGACAAAAGTCCAAAAATTCATGACGGCATTAATTCTATGGTCTCACAGACCATCTCCACCTGTGTTCAGTAGATCTGGCAGAGGAGAAGAGAAGGCAAATTACAGGATTCATTTACTTATAGGGGAATCTTTTAGGTTCAGGTACTGTTCTAAATACTGAAGGCAATGCAATTGACAGACTAAAAAGAATTTTAAGATCTTGTATAGCTTACAGTCTGGAGAGAAAATGCCAGAAATAAATAAGACCAATGAGTGAAATGGAGCATGAGAAGTTGTCATTTAAGATGGGGAATATGGACAAGGCCTCTCTGAGAAAATTCCATCAAAAAAGAAAGAGGTGTGATGCGGAGCCGTGTTGATGTCTGGTAAAGCAATTCCAGGCAGAACAGCATGTGCTGGTCCTAGGCCAGGAGTAAGCCTAGCGTATTTGAGGAAGGGAGAGAAGCCTACTACAAGGATGGGATCAATATAAGCAAGAGGTAAAGTGTAAGCTGAAGTCAGACAGTAAGGTTGGTCTTATATGGGGTCCGCTGATTGGTGGCTTTTCAAGTGATTCAGTGCTAGAAATCTGAGGGAAGATGAGGTGGGAGGCATAGAGCCTTGGAAAATGTTGAAAATATTGGTAAAACCACCCTACATATGATCATTAGGAAGGGAAGGAAAGGAGTACCAGGGAGGGTAGAGAAATTGGGAGCCTTATGTAAAAAATGACCGGAGAATAAGGAGGGAATGAAATCACAGAAGGCAAAGGAGGAAGAGAGGAAAGCATTTCTAGGTGAGGATAGACTTAATGATTAAATGATTAACATTCCTTTAGCACATGTGATGGGCTAAGCATTTTGTGCGATCTCATTAAGCTCCCTTCCCTTCTGTAACATCATCTAAGTTGTATTATTACACTATCATCAAAATTTTGCATGTGTAGAAACTCGAGCATCGACAGAGTTGTCATTCTCCCAGAGCCGTGCAGTCAGTGTAGAAGTAGGATGCAAATTCCATTAGTCTAACTATTCTCTCTCTGTTTCCTCCCAGATATACTGAAGAATAATTGGCTAATAAAAATAATATATAAACAAAGTGTACAACTTCACATATCTACATAAACATTGTGGAATAATCACCATAATCAAGGTCACGAACCTTAGTTCACATAATTGACCTCTTTTTTTTCCCTCCCTCCCTCTCTTCTTTCCTCCATTTTTCTTTCTTCCATAGTCCACTTCAGAGTTCCCTCTTAGGGTGCCGCAGAAGATTTATGTGCAACAAAGATGGACACAGCTCCCTGGATGGGCCATTGGGTGGTCACTGGCAAAAGGAGTTGAGGAATAGGCAGCATTCTGCAGTAGTTCGTGACAAAGGAACTGCTGTTAGTTGTCAGACTGAAAGGACGAGGGGGATGTGGGTAGCGACACAAGGGTGACAAAGAACTGAGAAATGCAGACTTACACCTGTTTATACCCTGAGAGGGAGGCTCAAGATGAAGGTGGCACAGTAGGAATCAAAGTATGAGAGGAAAAAAGATAGGGAGCAAGGTCAGGGACAAGTATGACAGTTTGAAGTCTTGAAATAACCTAGAGAGAAGACTCTTCGCTTTAGAGAAAATAGGGAGAATCGAGGAAGTGGATCCCAAGGTCATAGAGCCAATTAAATAGTGGCTCAGGGGCCAGAGTCCATGTTTCTGATTGTTGAGATTTCTGGCTGACTCATCTGCTGGTTATTTATCCTCCATCCTAGCGGGGGTTGGTGTGGTTAATAAATAAATACAGCCTAGGAAGACCCAGTATAGAGTGCAGATCTACAGAAATACTGAAGACATCTTGACTTTGGAGTTTACTTCACAACCCCTTCTCCCCCAGCTTGTTAGTCGGCAGAACTGACTTTTCATGACCATCACCTGCCTCCCGGAGACTGTGGGTTTCCACTGATGCTAAGCAGGAGCTCAGTAGAGAGAACGAAGGTCATCTTCAGGGAATCTGTAGTTGAATCAGGCTCCACAGCACCTTGAAATAAAAATGCTTTGGTAGGTAAATGGGGCACAGATGGGAGATCAAGTCAGCGCGCATGGGAATGATTTAGAGCAACTGCTATGGATATGGCAGCTCCTAGCAGGCCACCTCAGGATGGTCTGATGTGTAGTTGCAGCCCACGTAAGAAATAAATTATTGCAGTTCTGACTTTTGAATTTCCGGGCCCTTGACAGTGGTGATCTCAGCCATAGTGCAGACCATGTATACTCCGGGGAGGTTTTGATTTAAGAATCTAGAGCTTGGGAGGAGGGATATTCAATGTATCATCTATGCACACGATTTTAGGTACATATTTTGATGGCATAGCAGTTCTGCTTACATGATATAAAATAAAAATTTTTAACTCTGAAGGCATTACAATAGTCTGTTTTTAATACTTGAATTATCTTGGGCAAACATTGAAATTCCTGATTAATGTTTAACTCTAAGAGTATGCTCAGTTCAAGCAAAGGGTCAGTTTCAGGGTTCAGGCTGAGGTGTCTTGACGATTAGGTTTCAGGCTGCAGGGAGAAGCCCCAGTACCAAGGGTGATCGGATATCGGATATAATCGGACGTGAAAACTGTCCCCAACCTCCAGACAATGTGGATCAGATATAAGATCTTAATCTTTTCTTACCTGACTACAGAAATCTGCATGGAGAAGCACTATTTATCTCAAAGGGAAGTGGAGCGAGGAGCCTACTTCACCAGGAATCACACCGTTTTGGAAAGCATTCGATTCAAAAGAGCCATTTACCAAGGACAGTACTGTACAAGTTTCGGTTGTTGTGAAGACAGAGATGATGGCTGTGTCACTCAGTTCTATGAGGCAAACGCATGGTGCTACTGTGACAGATTCTGTGAAAGGGAAAACTCTGATTGCTGCCCTGATTACAGGTCCTTCTGCCGAGAAGAGAAGAAGTGGCCTCCTCCCACAAAGCCTTGGTATCTGGAAGGTAGGCTTGGGGAATGTGTCCCAGTTCATAATAAGACCTGTCATTTCTTTCCCTCTTTTGCCCCTTGCTTTCTACTTTTCTGCCTGCCTCCCTCTCCTCTTTTCTGCCTTCTTCCTTCTCCCCTCCCCTCCCCTCTCTTCATTTCTCTTCTCCTCCCCTTTCCTTTGTTTTTCTTCTTCAGTGAAATGCAAATGCTTACTGACTGTGATCACCAAGGCAAACATTTCTGGGTTGTTGCAGTGCATCTGTTCAGATGCTCAGTTATCTCTGTTGCCCTGGCACCTTTGGGAAAGATCAGGTATAATAGCAGTGACTGCAGGTCTGGACCCTGTTTTGAGCACTCTTGCAACTTGTATACGGATTGAAACTCTTTTTTTTTTTCTTCATAAAATGTGTTGACATCAGAACTATCAAGTGTTTTTTCTTTTTTTTGAGTGAAACCTGTTAGGGAAACTCATGAAAATTATCAGGCTGGTAATGTGCAGATTCCTGAAATGGTTTAGTCATTTTATGGCATTACTTGGCCTCTAACATTACAATCTGTGACATTAGTACTGCCATTAAAACCAAGATAAAAACAAAATAAAGTCCCTTGTCCTACCTAAGTAATATCAAATAGATCCTTCACATTTACTATTGTTTTATTTTTTCCATTCTGGAGATTTTAGGATTATTACAAAATAAGGAGAACTTCATGTTGAGCAAGTGTAAAAGCTTCGATGAACAAATGCACGTGACTCATAAAGGAGATGGCGGTGTTTACTGTACTGATCTAATTATATGAGGACGGGTATCGAGCAATTGATATAGCCAAACTCTGAGACAAAAGCAGACCAAAAACCCCTACGTAGACGTGTAGAGGAACCTTTGTCTTTTTCCTCTCATTACATCAAATCTCCACAGGAGAAGAGGAAATTCGGGGTTAATAGGAGCTCTTCACAGTACTGTAAATAGATGACTGTGCCTAGAAATTACAATGAGAAGACATTTTAGATGACAGGGACGTCATCTTTATTTCAAAATCTGTATGCTGTCGCCCTCCTTTTTATTAGTATCATCTTATCTGCAAAATTGATAGAAATGATTCTTTAAAAACATGCCTGTAGTACGATTTTCCACAGAATTGCCGTCTTCCCCAAGGTATTGCATTTTATCAGTGGAAAACTCGACAAACATTTACTTCACCCTACAGAGAGGCACACACTCCACTCGGAGTGAGAGGTCTAGTCCTTCTTCGACAGTTATTCACTGAGGATCTCTGTGGGGCTAGCAACGTACTTGGTGCTATCCCAGCAACGGGGAAAAAAAGACAAGACCCGATTCTCATGTAATTCACAATCAAATTAGGTAGAGGGTGTGAGATATGTAACAAGGCCACTGTCCAAATGCAAATTATGATATCTTTTCTGAAGAAAGTATTTAAGGTGCTGAAGAAAGTGTCATCGAATGGAACACTAGAATGTGAGATATTTGTGACATTCACCTGAGTGGGAAGTCCTGGGGGAGTCATTTAAGCTGAGGCAGGAGATATAAGGAATGAGGTGAGCTACAGCAGAGTTGGCAACTCATTGTTGCTGTTGTTAGATGAATGGGGTTTATTTATGAAATTGCATACATTATCTGGCAACCTTTCTTAACTCTCTTATTAAAAACTGATAATGCATTTTTATCACATTAAAGATTTCCATACCCAAGTCTCAAAGTAAGCATTATGTATAATGGAGAAATTGTAGATGTATTTCCTTTGGAACTAGTAACAAATCATGAATGCTTAGTATTTTTGCTACTATTTAAAAGGGAAGATTCTCTTTAATACTTGTTCTAGTTTAGATCTAAAGTGTCCCAGGGCCAGGGATTTAGCTCACTGGTTCTGCCGCCTGCCTTGCAAGTGCAAGGACCCGAGTTTGATCCCCAGCACAAAAATAAATAAATAAAGTGTCCCCCAAAAGTCTCATATGTTCAGAGGCGGGACTCTTGGAAGGTGACTGGATCACAGTATTAATCCAGCAAAGAGTCCCTAATTGGATGAACTGATAGGGGCCTGGCTGACAGAGGTCGGTCACTGAGGACATGGCCTGGAAGAGTATTCGTGCTCCCTTGTCTGCTCTTTTCCTCTGCTTCCTGGTTGCTGTGGGTTGAGGAGCTTTGTTCTGCCGTGTCCTTCCTGAGTGGAGTCAGCTAATTGTGAACTGAAACCACGAGCCAAAATTGACCTCTCCTTTTCTTTTTGGTACTGCGGATTGAATGTGGAGCCCTCACAGTGGGCTAAATCTCCTCTCTAATTTGTAATTCAAGGCAAGGTCTTGCTAAATTGCTCCAGTTGTCCTCAAATTTGCAATCCTCTTACCTCAGCCTCCCAGAATCTGGGATAATAAGCCTGTACCACTGAAGCCAGATAAACCGCTCCTCTTTTACAATGCAAATGTTGGGTATTTTGTTCAAGTGATGGGAGAGTGACTAAGATTACAATTTATAAGGAGATAAAACCTAATATTTTCAGACAAGTTGATGAACAAGATAGAAAATCATAAAAGCAACAGAAAGCAACACCAATATAAGGTAGAAGCATTTAAACAACCAAATGTTTTATTTTGAAAATCTAGGTTTCTAGCCAGGAGTGGTGGCACATGCCTGTAATCCCAGCACTCAGGAGGCTGAGGCAGGAGGATTGCTGTGAGTTTGAGACCATCCTGGGCTACAAAGTGAGTTCCAGGTCAGTCTCAACTACATAGTGAGACCCTGTCTCAAAAAACAAACAAACAAAAAACAACAACAACAAAAATTCTAGGTTTCTATCTACTTTTTAAACATCAGAAGATCTAGTAATTTGGGCCAACTGATTTTTAGGACAACATCAGCTAGCAATGTGTTGTTGATGGCTTCTTCCAATTTGCCCATATGTCCTACCTCTTGATATTTTCCACCTGAACCACTTCTCTTAATTTTCTGCCAAATGACTTGCAGAACACCTGCAGTTTCTGTGAGTAGAAATCCTCATTGTGGTTCAATTCTTGACTTGTACAATGGTACATAGAAACTTGCATTGTTACTGTTGCATTTAGTTTGTATTGATAGGAAGGCAATTCATTTGAAAATGCAAATGTTCTCAAAGTAAGTTAAAGTCTATATTATCAGTGTGGGATTGTTAAAAGAACTGGTGAATTCAAATAATGTGCTAATACATACTAATAACCTAATGATAACACATGGGATGTTGTATAGAAGTTTGTGCCCCAGCTCAGTTAAGGATCATATTTGTTTTGTAAGTATAGTCTTTAATAACATAATTGGCTTGGCATTCCTGGGAAACACACATATCACACCTTGCACACAGTAGGTACTTAAATAGACTTGTCCATATTGCATCTAAGTTTCTGCCTACTGAGCTTACTGTTGCTTTTCTGGCTAGCTAAGATTTACTGAGCACTTTCTACAGAGCCAACAACAGTTCAAACCCACTTTAGGTTTTTTTCATTCATTATTTTACTCCTCCTTGTTTAATAGGGTAGTTACTTTATATCAACTGCATAGGAAGCTGTTAGAGATTAGGTATGGATGTTTATTTATTGTGTGCTAATCATTTTATTGCTATATAATTTTGAAAAATAAATATATTTTCAGAAGCAGGATTTTTATACATGAGGTACTTACAACATTTATTTGTAAAGTACCAAAGTATTATTATTATTATTATTATTGAATTTTTTGGTACCAGGGATCAAACTTGGGCCTTTGCACTTGCAAGGCAGGCAGCGGAACCGCTGAGCTGAACCCCTTGCCCCAAAGTATTATTTTGTATCCATGGTTTTAATGGTTATTCTCATGTACCTTTGGAGGATGGAAACTAAGAATTTTGGATGTTATTTGAAACACATTATATATTTAAAATTATAGTAAACATAATAAGGGGATAAGAATACAGTAGTATTATAAACTCATGAGAAATTTGTAATATATACGGGTCAGAAGATTTGGGAATATGACACAAATAGATACCATTGTGAGTGTAATCAAGTACCAGATTTGTGTTTATTGTGAACAATAATATAACCTTACGATCTCAACTGGAATGTAAGGAATGTTAAAATGTTTAGTATTTATTTAAAAAATACTATGTACTAGAAGTGATTGTGTTAAATCGATGACTATCTTAAAAACATACATTTTTTTTTTCATTGAGTTTATTGGTACTTTTAAGGTATACAGTACAGTTACATTCATCACTGGGATCTTGTACCTTTACCTAATGTATCTTGATTCTTTTTTTTCCCCATTCCCCTGCCTTCCCTTCCCCCTGCTTTCCCTCCCCTCCTATTTTGAAGGACTTTGTTTCCAATATTTTTCATTTGCTTGTATTAATTCCATTCCCTTCTTTCCTTTCTCCTACTCCTCCCACTTCCCCTTTCCCTTTTTCCCTTTTCTTCCTATTTCACATGATCTATTATACCTTTTAGTCCTTATTTACACTTTCAGTTTCTCACATTAGAGAAACACTTTGGTATTTACACATGTGTGTCCTGTTTATCTCACTTAAGCATATTGCCTCAATAAAAATCACACATTTTTAACATAAAAGGATATTTTCCCAAGATTTTCTGTCCTTAGAGACCAGGTCTTGTCAAGCTTTCTGCTCCACTATTAGACAACTAGAATATGGCCCTCAAATTCCTTATGCATTTTAGCTATTCATACTCGATGTATCATATTTAAATCTCAGTCCATAAAACTGAGAAGGGTATGGCCCCTGCATTTTAGGGAGACTGTCTAGAGCACCTAGAGAGGAACACCTCACTGCTATTGCCTTGGTCTAAATGTAGCAACATGGCTGTGAAAACCATCAGGATAGATTGTGTTGTTTTGTGGAAATGCAAGGAATTACACTGAAGACAACTACAGCCATCTCCGAAAAACATTCAGAATCATCTGAAAGCAGAGGCTACCTAGATGTCTGCATTTTGATATACTATTATTTCAATTTAACATTATCTTTTGTTTCTTTG